AGAAATTATAAAATTAAAAATATGAAACCGTAATTTATGAAATAAAGAGCAATTATGATCTAAAGGGTATCAAAATTTACCAAAAAAAAAGCTTAATATTTATTTGCTTACTTTATTAAACATTTCTTTCAACGCGCGTATGCGTAAAGCATACATTATGCATAGTCGAAATTAGAAAATTGCAACCAGAAAACTATTTGATGTGTTCTTGAATCATCTACAGTTTCTACTTAAATGCAAACATCAAAATTTCATTCCCAAATTTATACATGTGAAATGTAGCCTTAAAGCTTCCGTTCACATTTCAAAAATTTTGCATAAATTCAAATTGGCACTTCTTCGTCACATTATAAGGGACACACGCAAACGTTTATCTAAAATTGAATTTGAATTATATCACCTCCATTTAAAAATTGCTAATTCCACTGAAAATTTTTCCTCATTTGAACATACATCCTGGTCTAGAACCGATACCGTTTGTCAACGGCATAAAAATGTGCTCATTTCTAAATTCCAAAAACTCACATACCAGTCGGATAGTCCCAATTATCTAGCTGATCTTCCCACTGTAAACGTTAACTCCATCGTTAATATCTCCAATAGGAATCTTTCGGAGGATCAGTTAAAAGTATTAAAATATAATTTCAACTTTTCAATCTAAACCTTCCTCTAATCATCGCCCCTATAGAGAAAGCCTTTAAATTCTCCAAAATTTCGGAAACGCAGAAGGATACAATCCGCCACCTAATTACTCATAACGTTAATTTTAACAATAAATCTTTGGGTTCTAATCTTAGCAAAAAGGAAAATGAGATCTTACGTGAAATTCATTCTGATACTAATATCATTATCTCTAAAGCTGATAAGGGCGGACAGATCGTTGTTATGGACAAACACACATATATTACTGGAGTCTCTAAATTGATAAATGAAGGCCCATACTGCTCGATCCCTAAAGATCCTTCAACTTCGGACCTCATGAAAGTAAAAAGTGCTATTAAATCTTCCCACATTCTGCCAACTCAGTTGAAGAAATCACTTATTCCGCCTATTACTAATTGCGCTAGACTTTATGCTCTTCCAAAAGTCCACAAAACCAGTATTCCTTTTCGACCAATTGTTTCCAACATAGGTACTGCTTCATATCCTTTGGCCAAATATTTAGTTTCCAGATTTTCTCCTCTACTTGATAACAATATTCACACTGTAAAAAATTCTGTTGAAGTCATTGATAAACTTAAAAATATTTCCCCACTTCGTTCCATTATGGTTTCATTTGACGTCAAATCATTGTTTACTAATGTTCCGGTCGAAGGAGCACTAAATTGTCTTGAAACTAGGCTTCGGGAATTTCACTTCACACATACTGAAATTAATGAGTTGGTTTCGCTTACTAAAGTTTCTCTAAGTCAAACCCACTTTGTTTTCCAAAATGCATATTTTCGTCAAGTTGAAGGATTGGCTATGGGTAATCCTCTCAGTCCGGTACTTGCTGACATTTATATGCACTATTTTGAGATGAAATTATTTGATAAATTATCTTTTCGTCTTTGGATTCAGTATGTTGACGACACTTTCACACTTTTTGACAGTTATAAAGAGGATTTATCCGAGATTCTATCTATTATGAATTCAATTGATCCAGCCATCCAATTCACTCTTGAATTTGAATCCAACAATTCCCTCCCCTTCCTCGATATTCTTATAATCCGCAATGAAACCGATTTTAGCACCACTGTGTACCGTAAACCCTTTGCAGTTTGTTTACCACCCCATGCCAAGTCATGCCACCCTGTTAAGCAAAAAAATGGCTTCTTTTTACTATTATGTTTTCCGCGCGCTAAAAGTTTGTTCCTCTGAATCTTTGCTTACCAATGAACTTAATTATTTGAGAGCAGTTGCGATTGACCGTGGATTTTCTCCCGTGATTATTGATAAAGCCGTCAAAAAATTTTCAGATTCCCATCAAAGAAGACATTCCACTGTTAGAAATAATATCAATGACCTTGTCGTGCTTCCATTTTATCCTTCTGTTAGCTATAAAATTGCACGGATTTTCCAGAAATTCAATTTTCAAGTCGGTTTCTCCCCTATTAATAAAATTCACCCTTCAATTCTAAAAGATTGCGTTCCTGTCTTGAATTCTTGGGGAATTTATAGTATATTATGTCAGTGTGGTTTAAGATATATTGGCCAAACAAAAAGAGCGTTGAAGTTTCGTATCAAGGAACATGAATCTTATGTCAAAAAAGGGGAAATTAACAAGTCTTCAATAGCGTATCATAGCTGGACTTTTAACCATAATTTTTGATTTTGGGTCTGCAAAAATCATCCAAAAGGCTTCTTCCATAGGCGAATTGGATTTTCTTGAGGCTTTTCACATTCACAAAGATTTAGAAAGTTTAGTTAATGATTTGAAGTCCAATCCAGTCCTTCCTAATGCCTTTAAAATTCTACTGTCTTAATTCAATTATTTTTGCCGATAGATGGCGTTACCTCCTCGCACTTGGTACTACCAGAGGGTATAAAAATCCGTTCAGTGGTTGCTTTCCATTATTTGAAGTTCAGATTTTGAACGTAATGTGCATTTGCCCCTCGCTCCCTATTTTAACTTTGCTAATATTTCTTTATGCTTGATCAGACAGCCTGGCTCAGTAAAAGTAGGCGGCCAGTGCAACTCTGATTAAAAATCTAGTTATAACCACGTGCAGTGCTGATAAGCACCACGTGTTTCTGCGATTCCTATTTTCTTCTTTCTATGTATTTCTTTCTCCTGATGAGGAGGGACCTTTAGCTGCCCTCGAAATCGATTGAGTGTTTCATTATACCTACGCTAAATATAAGGTTGTTTTTTACGATTTTGATTATTTGATGTGTATTCGTGATATTTATAATGACGAGGAATTTGATTTAAATCATATCAAAGACGGAGTACATTGAGATGAAATACTACATTTAGTAAGGAATTATAAGCCAAATAAAATAAAAACATCTGCTCTGAATATAAGGTTAGTGCTAACAGATCAACTTCCAGTTCATTGCGCGCCGCGTCGCTCCCCCCTCCGGAGAGCAGCGTGAAATTGATAAAAATATTTCGGAATGGTTAGAGAATCAAAGGATATGCCTTTATCCATTTTTTTCAGCAATTCCACTTTTTGTTTGATGGACATCGAAACATGCTTTCGCTTTGTGTAGATCCTTTGGTAGCTCCAGAATCGGAAATTCTTTTTGTCATAATCGAAAGTTCAAGCTTACTTTTATAAAATTGCTCTAACAGTCTGCAAAAAGCAATCCAATTAGAAGCCGAATCCAATTAGAAGATGAAGGAACAACGCAATCTCCAACATTAACTGAAATAGATAATTAGAAAATTTTAGCTTAGCTTATACCGTCCGTTATACATTAAACGCGCATGCATAAACATATTATGCACATACGTAAAGCATATGTACGCATGTGTAAAGTTATAAAAGCTTTGATTATAAAGCATATGCACGCATGCATAAACGCATGCGCAGAAAGTTTGTAGCTTTGAGGTCCGGATTATAGATCATTCTGGACTATGGACATCCAGATGAAAGACTTTTGACTGTATATACAATATTTAAAACATACTTTGAAGAAGCAAATATGTTTTATTATAGAAGTTATTTAGCATTTTGTGAATGTGCCATACAACTGTCATTTGATAGTAAATATGGATGGTGAAAACTGCATTATTTTTTAAATAAGTCCATCCTTTTAGTTATACCAGCGTTTCTCAGCCTTTTTTGCTCCATGCATCCCTTTCACCATAGCTAATTATCCCCCCCCCTTTGCATTCCCAAAATCAAAAATTACATATGTGTTTATTTAAGTTTAGATTATTTTTAATGTGTGTTATAAATTAAACAAGAAAACATATAGAAAATATTGATAAGTACCAAAATTTTCATAATAGTTTTTTACATTCATAAAGTAAAACTAAATGCTTAACAGGTAACTAAATGGCTGACCGCATTCCATCGAAAGCTATGAGATTCCTCTGATTGAGAACCCCTGAATTATAGAGTTCACAGTCTTTTAAAACACATTTTAAGTTCCTGCGATTAGCATGTGTAAACAATACAATTTTGTTTACAAGTAAATTCCCTTTTAGCTAGTTTATTTCATTCTGTATAAGGAATAAGCATGTTTATATAAGCTTCAGAGTAGAGGTAGATTATTAAAAATAATACTTGTAGAGGTGTTTTTTTTTTTTTTTTTTTTTTTTTTGTCATCACAAATGGACAATATTGAGGAAACTAGGCTAAGAACATTAATTAAGCGCAAATGTTTAGTTCTAGCACTTTTTGTTTAGTGCTAGTGGTATTAATAATGGAATAGCACACATTGAACTTAATGTCAGAATTAGGGATGAAATTTTATGAACACTTTACTGCAAGGATTTTGATATGCAGTATATTGGTTCAGATATTTACTTTTCCTTCGTTTGATGAAATTTACTATGAAAATGTACCCGAAAATGAGTTCTTTTCCTTTTTTTTTTTAAATATATCGCTCTTATTCACATCCTTTTCTCTCCATTACATTTGCCTCTTATACTGGCATTATTTTCTCTGTATGTAAATATTTTAGGAAAATACTATAGTTTTATTTTTTAGAAATTTTTAAGCTATAGATATAATTTGATTAGTTATTTATGTGGCAGCAATCTAGAGTTAATTTAGAAATTTAACCCCAAGAAGTATAAGCAAAATTCAGAAAAACGTGACCCATTATCCATAAAATTTTCTAATCTATGCAACTCTTCGTTCTTAATGTAGTTCATAATAATTTTTTTGTCTGTTAACTGACTTGATATTTACCTAATGAATTATATGAGGTGCAGCATTTGCTGTAGTCCTTTACTTGTGTTTCTTCGTTTTAACTTCCTGTTTTTAAGTACTGTATTTGAATGTTTTCCTCTTACTAATATGAATGTTTTTATGCATAAAACAGTAAATTCTGATTATTTTCAGGCATCGTAGGAGATTAGATGCCAACTCTAAGCGTTCTTATACAGAAGAAGAGCTTCAAGCTGCGCTAAGAGATATCCAGAGTGGAAAGTTAGGTACCAGAAGAGCTGCAGTTATATATGGTATTCCTCGCTCTACTTTGAGGAACAAAGTGTATAAATTAGCAAATGAGTCTAAGAGTCGAGCACATTGCAGAGCCACTCACTGTAGTGGTATTTCTACAAAAAATAAAGATCATATTAAAAATTTAAAAGCAAATACAGAATTAGATGTACCATCTTATGACACAGTGACTAAACAAAATATTTCATCTGCTAGTGAATCACTTCGCCAGTTATTAAAGTACACTATAACTCAAAAAGTTCAAAGTGCTACAAAAAGTGTTGATAATAAGTTAAACAATGATAAAAGTGCTAATTTCTCAAATGATTTGGACCTTGATTCAATGAATGAACTTCAGATGTTTGGTAGCTTAGAATGCAGTCAAGCACTTGCACCAGTTCTTTCACATGTAAGTTGGAATTTTTGGACAAACTTTATAAATAAAATTTACATTCCTTTATTTTATTTATTATGTTATTTTGAGTAAAGATTTTGACTCTCACAGGAAAGTTGTATTATGTAAGTCAAAGTGCGATGTGTATGTGAAACTCCAGTGATCCAGTTGCTTAAGGCTATTTGAACTATTAATTAATTCCTTTTTTAAATTTTTCTGTTGATTTAAATAATAAAAATGTTGGTATTTACTTTTTGAATCAGAGAACAATGAGCTGTTATTATTAAATGTTAATTGTTAAATTTTAAACATAACACATAAGTAAAGCATTATAATAAAAATAAGAGAAGTTGCCATTCATCAGTCACCAAATGTAACGTTAAATAATATTTGCTAATTACAGTTAATAGAAAAATATCATGACCTTCAGCCCCTTTAAACTTTTCTTGGGGCCTATAGAGTCTAATTTTCTATGTATTGAAGCCATTTAGTCAACTATTCAATCAGCAAGGAACAGAAAAGTCTTCCATTTTATGTTCTATATTAGCTTTATTTAATAGTAGGGAATGTGTGGGACAGACATGTATGTCCCAGCCACCAGAAAAGGTTAATCGTATGTAATTTCAGTTTAATGTCTATGTGTTTTAACCTAGTTCATTGATTTAATTTACAGCTTTCATAACTGACAGATTATCTGCAAAAAAGTGCGAACAACTATATCATTATATCCGAAAATTTCTTGAACCATGTTCTCAATAATGGAAGGTCTTACATAGCTTTACTTAGAGGTAAGAAGAGTCCAGCTTCAGTAGAAGATGGATATATAATTTTGCTTTTTCATATACCAAGTGGCTAGACAATTTGTAGACATACCGTATTTTCACGAATACCACGCACCACCAAATAAGACGCACACCCGATGTTTTTCAGTGCTCCAAAACAGGAAAAAAATGTCCACCAGTAATAGCACACATATTTTCATTAGGCCCACTGAAAGCTTAATTTATAGAAAAAATCTTTTTTTCTGCATTACAAGCATAAAGAAACAGAAATATTATACCGATCAACTGTTATTGAGAAAGAAATCTTAACTACCACCTGTACCTTTTGCAGCTTCTGCCTAAGTTCGTAGCGATACATGCCCAGTAACATTTTAATGGAAACAAATCAGTTGTTGCAGAATTGAATACTACAGCATAAAGGAAAAAAACTGATAATCTAAGTTTGTTATATCAAATTTTATTCGTTAAAAAAATAGCTTCAGTTGGCAACAATCACTGCACTAAATATGGATTTAAAAGTACCGAATTATCCTTTAAAATCTACCGGTAATCTAACAAAGACAGATAACCGTACCATTGCACTTCTTCCCACTTTTTCAGTTTAGAAACACGATGTATATTGCCGGTCTTCCTCGCTTTCTGTGCTGCTGTTATCACTGATGCTTTCCAAACTGCAAGTATTCTCTTCTTGCTCATCATCCCACACTGCACAATCCTCACTTCCGTCCATGCTGTTTGATATTCCGCACTTTTTGAAGCTCAAGTTCTTGTGAAGTTCTATTTCTGGCGGCTTTGATCCATCCACAGATTCGAGTTATTTTTGGCTTCTTAATGCGATGAGTTGGTTCCACTGCATGATTTCCAGCGGCCATCCATTCCGCTTACGTTCTTTGCAGTGCTGCTTTAAATTGGTGATTAATGCATATATCTCTAGTTACTACAGCATAGATGTCATCCCACCAACCATAAGCTCAGCCCTTTTCCTTCGCACATTTTTTGTCCTATGTGCACAAAAACTATCCAGCACTAGCATAGTAGGCAGCGTCAACAGAACACCCGGGCAACAATCCCATATGCTTTTCATCCAATCCTCAAAATGGAAGCATCCATCCACCCAGACTCTTGTGTCCTTATGATGATCCCATATGGCAAAGCTTCCTCTGGCCACTTCAGAATAACCTAAGGAAGCAGCTGTGTTTTGTCAGCTAGAACAGAAAGCATTACAGTAATGCACTGCTTTTCCATGCCCCCTCGTTCTTATGCTCACTGTCTTTTTGCGCTTTGCATCTACAGTCGTATGCAGAAGTATTTCAAAATACACAGGTATCTGATCAGAATAACCAATTTGTATTCGCAGTTCAATCATGTGGCGGTAAAATGTAATCAATTTCTCCTCCAGTGAACTCAACCTCTGCTTGCCTTAAAACCTTCCCTTTATACCTCCCTAGCAATTTGGATGGCCTTCAACTGACACATTTGAGTAGAAACACCATATCCACTGGCCCGGTTTTCAGTCATGAATTCGTAAAGTTTCTGTTCAATATGAGGGTGTTTGGCATGTTGGCCCTGGAAAGCCTTGCGAGCACCACTGCTGCATTGAAGCAGTTCTGTTTCCAATCTCGAATACATGATTTACTAATGTTATTATTTTCTTCCATAGTTCGATTTCCAATCAATTCTGCTTCACGCAGAATTTTAAGTTGTAGAGACATTAGGTTATTTCGAAGCAAAGGAGATGAAAAATGAGCAGCGTCTTCACCGGGACTCGAACCACGGGTCTCTCGAATACACACCGAGCATTCTGACCAACTACACTATGAAGAAATGCTAAGGAAGCAGGAGAAATACCTTATATACTCCCCCTTTTAAAGGTCGACTGGGGTTTTAAGGGTCATTCCCATTGGGGTTTATCTGAGCTAGTAGAGTCAGTTCCATGTGTTGACTAGCTGTGCTATGCCTGCAGTTCAGGTATTTCAACTTGCTACCCTATGGAGGAAAAACAGGTTTTAGAGATGGGTCAGCTACTTCAACTATGTCCGTTAGCTGAGATAAACCCCAGTGGGAACGGTCCTTTAGGGGACCCAGTTACCAAATCCTGCTGGTGTAGAATCATCATTCACCACCTTTTGGTTCGGGTGCCACTGTAGAGATATTAGGTTATTTTGAAGCAGAAAAGATGAAAAATGAGCAGTGCCCTCGCCAGGACTCGAACCACAGACCTCTTGAATACGTGCCACGCATGCTGATTACTACACTGCGAAGGATTGCTAAGGAAGCGGGAGAAATAGTTTATAAAGTTTCTCACTAATGGCGAATGAATGTGAACACGTGCCACTTATCTCAACCTGCTCTGAGCAACACATCTTTACTAATGACAAATTTCTGGAGTCTCTTTTTAGAATGATTGATTTACCAGGTATTCGTATCGCAACAGTGCTATCTCGAAATGGTTGAAGAAGATGCCATAGTACAAAGATGAAAGGTGATTCATACTGATAGAAAGATCAAGGAAGCGGCATAGTCAAAGCGGGGCGAAATGTCAAAGTCTGTGTGTGTCTGTGTAGTTGGCGGGAGGAGAAGTGCTAATGTTATCCCAGTCCAGTTGCCTTTTTCGTTCTTGAAGGCAATTTTAGAGCTATATTAACAAAGCGATAATCTCACCTGCTTCTAAAGCTGGCTTCAAGACCATTTTGTGAGACAGTGGAAGGGGAACAAAATAACATGTTTCTCTTTAAATGAAAGCTAATGGTAGAAAAATTGGGATTTCTGCTTTAGGTATTCCACAAACTCCAGCTGTAAGCAGGAAAGAAAGGCTGGAATCTTGTTTCAGCACATGTCAGTTAGCATTTTGGGAGGGAGGAGTTTACTGACCTGTGTCTGTTCTGGCTGTCTCACCATGCAATATCCTTGAGAAAGGTTCCTCTTGAGTTTCATGTGATTAGTAGGTTGCCTCATTTGTCCGTCTTTTGCGTAACTTCATTAACACATACAGGATTATAAGTTGTAAAATAACTAAAGAGTTCTGTGGCAACACAACCGTTTTGGTAACTGTGTATTCAGTTTAGTGGCCAGGACTAGAGGGGGAAACAAGCCATCTGAACAAGTAGATACGGAAAGCAGATAAACGAACTTTTATTATAGTTCTCTATTGAGATAGAGGTAGCATTAAGGCTCCATTAAGGAAAATATCCATAAAACATACATTAGAAACCTCATGCTTATTTACTAAGTTGAACATTGATTCAAAGTCTTGCAGGAGGGCATCGCACTTCAGAAAAAAATGTAAAATGTTCAAATCATCTTTCCTTGTCACTTAAGAACAAGTCTCGTTTTGTGTTTCTTTATTTCCAATCAAACTATCATACATTCTGTTGTAGCGATATAGACAGTGAAGAAGCATATGTTTTGCTTTTCTTTGCATTATCAGTTTCCCCCCTGCCAAACACTGCAACTTCAGGCACCTGCAAGCTGACAGTGGCTCTGAAATGAAAAAAACAACCTGCTCCCCCTCTTTTGTCTTGGAACTGGTTTGTGTTATGAAATTCCTTATTGCTTATCAGCTGAGCTCCAGTGCTGCTGCCAGTGTTATGACTAAGAAGCCAAGTTCAGCAAAAACCATTCAGATAATAACAGTTTGGTGAAAGTACCAGTATATCGTCAACAAATCCCTGGCCAGGATTTATTACTTGAGAGGATACAGTAGCATCATATAATGTTATATTTTCTGGGGATACCGTTTCTCAAAAAAGAAATAATTTATGCTGACCAACTTGTGTTTACCTGCCCTGTATTGCTTTGTTTTGCATAAGCCACACACCTCAATTTTTCTGATTAAAATTCTCATAAGAAATTTATTATGAAATCATGGTATTCGTGAACTTCGTTGTGAATCCTTACACGTATATTTTTTCTTGTGGATCAGCCTCCAAATCTGCATCTACATGGATGAGAACTACAGAATTATTCCCATTTTTACTGTCAAATATTCATTTAAGATTTGAAGTTCCTTTCAGATATCAATAATGGAATTACACTATTATGGGTTTTGTGTAATTATTACCGATTTCTACCCAATGATAAGGAATTATTAATGTAGCCAAAAATTGCTGTGGAAAATGCTAAGCTCATGGTCATTCCATATGACTGACCAAAGCTTGCAGTTGTGCTAATGTGTCAGTGGCTATGTAAAATCAATAGAAGCTATTATGCAAACATCTCATGCACTTGTCTTTG